GCGAAAGACCGACGTCAAGATAACGGTCAAGTCGCGGACGATTCTCGCGAATCCGTAATTACAAAATCTAAGAAACGGCACGCGACGTTCAGGGATAGATTTTGGGTGGTCTCATGGTGATCCGCGCCTTTTTGAGGCACGAAATATCCCATAAATCATCCTTAAGATCATGAATTTTGGAGGACACTTTCCCATACTACAAATTCCTGTCAACATCCTTTCCTCTCCCAAAATCTTAACCATTCCAAGAGCAAAGGAAAATCCTACTACCAGCGAACGAAACCTATTCCACCAATCCGAATTTGAGTAATCTGGGGCAATTAGTATAAAAATCGCGGTTCCGCGGCCCTCGTCTCAGATTTTTCTCCAAGTTTTCTCAAGCTACACTTGTCGCGCTGATTTTTCTCCAAATTTTCTCAAGCTACACTTGTCGCTCGATTTTCCTCTAAGTTTAGAGAAGTTGTCGCGATATTCAAAAAGTTCCACCCGATTTTCGAAGCTCTTTTTCTCTAGTAGAGTCAGTATTAAAGAAACATTACCAGCCTTGCCCATCCCGGCCGGAGGACCTCCAATGATAAGCATCTCAGTAGTAAGTCAGTATATCTCTATTCTCTGGCTCCCTCCTCGCTTTATCTATTGGTAATTTATTTCAATATTTCATTTTATCTTTTTTTATTATTCATTTGTTTTATTTTATTTTTATTCTTTTCTTTCTTTCTTTCTCCCTTTTGACCTCCTACAAGAAAATGCAAACATTGCAGTCCGTTCACGTTATAATTTTAATCTATCGCCGTCGCCCCACGATAATTGTTCGCCCCCTGTCGATCGGTCATTCGTGTCCGCTAACACTATCATCATCCGAGGAAAATTAGGCCAAATCCTCTCAAATCCACTCACCAAAATCTCCTTCTCTTTTTATTATCTCGCTATTCTCTCCATATCTCCTCTCTTCCATTTTGCCACGATACTTTTCACATACACACGCACACTTACACATGTACAAATCATAATTATCAAAATTGTATTATTCTTATTGTATTTATTTTCTTTTATTTTTATTCAAAATGTATGATCAATATTATTTTTTATTATATTATACTATTATTAAATTAACTCCCCAGTAGTCTTTGTTCAAATATAACCTCTCCTCGTATTCTTAAGTTCTTCCGCGATTGCACTTCGCCCTCTCCCCGGTTACTTGGATTAAGTTCCATGACCGAAAGTCAGGGTACGGTCGTACTGGCGCAACTGGTGTTAAAGTGCGCCCTCTCGGCGCACTGATCCAGTTTGGGCCCTTTAAAAATACGTCCGACTCGTGTGTCCGTTTAGCGGAGCACGAGCAGAGGTTTCTACTTCGTCCTCCGTTCGATCTCCGGCTCGTTAGGAGCCTCAGGACGAAGCGAAGCGCCTCCCGATTTGCGTCGGTCTTTCCCTACAGCTCCCTTGCGGTCCGGAGCCTGGACACGACCAAATCGGTCTAACATTCCTTGTTACGTTCACCCCCTCAGCTCCGCATGCGCGCATTGGACGTAACAATATCATGCATATTATATTATAATACTTCAAGTAAAAATAATTATCATTTGATCTTTAATACCTCGATATTTATGCATTTATTACTTCTCTTATTCATTATCTTTGTTTATAATAGATCTCATATAATGATTTTCGTAATTTTAATTACCTTTACATTTTCTTTCTACATATATGTATTTTATTATTTTTAGTAATCTATATCTTTTATCCGATATTTGAATATTAAACGACAATAGATTTCAGTTTTAAAACATTTAGATATTTCAGAATTTTCTTAAATTATACGAGGTCTGGCTATTAAATAACGAGACTGCTTATGAAAAAGAGTTTTATTTTAAAAATTATTCTACAATTGAATGCTCCCCTTTAATGTACTCCCCTCTCCCCGCCACACACCGTTCCATTCGTTTTTTCCATTGGTCAAAGCAATGCTGGAAGTCTTCTTTTGTAAGAGCATTTAGGAGCTCCGCCGATTTTCGCTTCACCTTTACCATCGACTCGAACCGGGTTCCTTTTAAGGCAGACTTGATCTTCGGAAACAGGAAAAAGTCACAGGGTGCTAAATCAGGCGAGTACGGCGCGTGTTCGAGCACTGGAGTGCCTCTAGCGGCTAAATAACGCTTCACAGACAGCGCGTTATGGGCAGGTG